CCCCCCCTGTCTCTCTCGATAGATTTGTTAAGTAAACCTTGCTAGATCGCATGTAAAGTCAAGCGATTTACATCTGGAAAGTTTGATCTACACAACATCTATGAAAATTTTCATTTTAAAAACGTACGAAACTGTAAAATTCAGTTAATCTTTCGACCTTTAATACTTTCCGCTTCCAAATATTGGACTTTGTGTTCTTTAAGTTGGTAATTATTTGGTATTCGTCTACGTAAATAACGGTAGCCACGCCGCTTACAATCGCAATTTCTGGACGACAATTCGCGTATCTATTTATCAGTGTATGGATCATACTTGGAGTGCAACGTTCTGATTACGAAGCAAGGTGTGAATACTAAATAAATACCACTGTATCTTAGTACTTAGTTAATAGTTAATTCTTATGGCATCACCAACCATAGCTAAAGAGCAATAAAAATTCATTGAAATAGGTTTGGCATTCTTCATCCTTATGTATAATTGCATAGGGTTAAGGCTAGGATTTTGGTCGTTATCGTTCACGCGGGGACAACGAGCCAATCTATTCTTTCCAGTCCTTCTTGATGTCAAATGACCACTCCCACTTGAGGTGTTCATGTTTATCGTCGTCGGTGAACAGAGAACTGACACTGTAAGATCCCCTGGCCATCACTCCTGCAGGTGCATCTTCAGCTGGGGTCGTGTAGGATTGAATCTCCGTTTTTGGAGGGTAAGAGCCTACCATATGTGTCATTTTGTCCACTGAAATGGAAAATAAGCTTTCTAAGAATATGAAGCCAAGGACTGCTTTCCAAAATTGGATGCAAACTTTCTACAAGGCCAGGATAACATATGTCAAGTACTAATTTATTACCTGTAATGCCTTTAATAGATTCACATGAGAGTGCATTAGAAACAGGAATAATGGGAATACATGAGTTATGACCATATAGGGTAAATTAACTAGAGGCATCAGCTTACCAGGCACACCAAGGCGATAGGTCTTTTGGACATATTTAAGACCATGCACGATTTCACGCTGAACAATGAAGTCAATTCGGATTTTGTAGCTGACACCTTCCTTAATAACAAAGGTTTGTTTCTTTAGCTGTGTAAGATCTCCTGTTAAATCTAGTTCCATATCAGGTCGATCGGTCACACAAAGAGCCAATTTTTTCACTATCACTTTCCTGGGATCAGAAGGGTCTGCCAAAAATCATTAATATCCCATTGTTATAAAAATCCTTCTAGACAAAAACTAGATTTATGAAGATAGTCTTACCAATAATTACACCCCCAGCTTTTGCCTCTCCTAGCAATGTCTCTTTGTATTTCCTTAGACTCTCATCTTCTTTATCTGCTTCAAGGATCTGTTCGATTGTCTTCTCTGGAGGAGGCTTATAGTTTGACTCAACCTCTAACTCTTCTTCAGGAGTATTTACATGATCAACTGCTGGATCCGCCATTACAACTGTTGAATACATATAATCCTTCTAGTGAAGCATGATTTTGGTTTACACAGAAACAAAAATAATTCATACACATTCCAGAAACATATGTATGTATTAAGCCAGGCCATTTTTTTCTGCTTATTTTGTGTACACGTTTTAAAAGATTTACATAAGTCAGTTATCACATAACAAAATTCTCAAAAAGATATTTTAACAATTAATCAAGCTTCTGACAGACACTTCATGTAGACCCCCTGGAGTCTGTAGTTCCAGCAAGCTAGTACAATACTGTACATTATTTGCAGTACAATAGAATGCAGAAGGATAAGCACATAGAATAGAAGTGACAGAAGCAAAGAAACATAAAACAACAAACAAATAAAGAACATAAACTAGTTCAAACACTTTTACTCGACGGATAACCGCGAATCTAGTAGCGACAGGCACAGTATCTCGACGGGTTAAAATCGAGAGACTATAACTCAAATAGATGCTCACCGTTCGTATGACAATCCGGACTGATGTAAACTAACGCGACAGATTATAAATGCCCGAAAATATAACGAATTATCAGCGAAATTGATCGCACTTGCCTATCTCTCTACCTCTTCTCGTCGGCTTTGCCAAACGGAAGACACGTACAATATGGCGCCTACAGAAGGGCGGACTACTTCCTGTAAGCAACACAATTCATTCTTTCCATCAAATCGTAATAATTTTTTATTGGTATGTAAATAGTTGAATTATACCTGAGTTAGCAATCAATCTTATGAATAGCAGATATTGTAATTGTGGAAAATATGTTTAGTCCAGAATACACTGGTCAGACTGCCATTTTTTCGATCGATTAAATTTCGACTTCCTACCCCTACTCTGTACTCGAGATTCAAATCTGTCGACAGATCTTTATTTAGAAACCACATCCATTACTGATTTCCTTATCGCGTTCTTCTTAGTTAAAAATTTATCAAAATTTGTCTTTTTTTTTAGATTTACGTTATAAAGACAAATTTAGATAACCATTTATTATCTGATAATGGAATTAAGCCTATCTGTTTTGGAGAAAGAGTAACAGCTGCGTCTCTAGATATTTTTACTTTGTTATTGAAAACGAAAGGCAATTCGTACACAGGATGTGCTCATGGAAAAAGACAATAATTTACATCTCCATTAGCAAAGCTTGCGTGTATTCCACCAGTCTTTCTAGACCCGCCTGATTTCGGAAATTTGGTCGACACTTTTCCACCTTTTTAAGTAACAGTTCCGGATGAACTTTCGCCAGCTGTATTAAGGCGTCTAAAAAAGAATCAAGAAAGTCACATACGTCTCCTGCATGTTTTGAACATTTAGAGATAATTATGTACTAGCTTGCATTTTACATACTTAGAACTAATTCTTGAAAACTTGAGTCAGGATCATCCAGATGTACAATTGCTGTTGTATAGAGAGCATCAACGTGACTCTTACTAAATACTAAATCATAATTTTTTGGTATTGTACTCCACAATACTGCGAGAGCTTTTACTGCTGCACAACGTACTTCATCACAGCCGTCATCAAGACGTTTTAGTATTACAGGATATGTTTGATGAATATGTTCCTCAGTTACACAAAGCAGATTATGTCCTATATGCATAACGAGGCAAATGGCTTGGAGAGAATAAAGCCTTGTTTTCTTAGCGTTGTCATCAACCAAGGAGACAAGAATAGGTATTATTTTTTCAAACAATAATGAAAAGTGCTCCTTGGTTGAAAATAAATCAATGTTAGATTCTTTTGATATGAAATTATTCTCTTCCTTAATTATGTTACTATTAAAGTCAGTACTGTCTAATAATGCACAGAGACAGCAAACAGCAGCTGTGCGAATTGCTTCGGCAGTTCTACCAGCTGACCAAATTAATCCAGGAACTATGGTTCTCTCTAAAATCAAATTGGTAAACTCTGTCAAGTTTTCTGTAGAACTCAAAGTTTCGTTCCTGTGTAACAGATAATCAGTTAGTGAAATAAACTGTTTTAATCTCAGCTCAGGATCAGCATCATTATTCATAGTCTCAGATAGTATAGGAATAACGAGACTCATATGCTGTGCAATAGCAGAGCCTGCTCGTATAAGACAAGAGCGAAAAATTTGGTAATTTGCAGTATGAATTGTCCAGGAGTCACATCCGTTCTGTATGGCCACTAAAATAGATCTTATGCGATATACATAGAGTTTATCCAAGCTGCATAGATCCTCTATTTGCTTAAGTAAGTTTAAAGACTGTTCAGCATCTTTTAGAACCCCTTCTTCAACTGTCATTGACAATACTGTAAAAATAGTAGTAAATAATTCTTGAGAAATTTCCAAGCAATCCTGAAACATTATTCACATTAATCCTTGACCTACTGGAGATTAATTTTTTTACAATCTCCATAATCTACCTCCTTGCAAACAGTAAGAAGAGCTTTGCAGCACTGAAGTATTTGTTGCTGGTATCTTGCTTTTTTACTTTGACAAATATGTGCCTGCTGCAAGAAATTACCAATCTTCTCTAACTGCATTGTAAGAAGTTGTCGTGGACTGCCTCGTAAGATCCCAGCAAAAACTGTAAGATGTCCAGCTGTGGGTGACTCTTCCAGTGTTGGTAAGACAAGATGTGTAAAGATATCTGGTGGTACAAAGTATCCCATGTATTCTGCAGCACGTTCCACGTTTTCGACAACGCCCTTATTTTCATCATTACAGGCTCTGATAAAAAGATGCATTTTGCCATATTATACTCGACATATACATAATATTTGTATTTATTAATGGGATTGAGCTCACCGATACATTGCTGGTAGTAACTTTTCTATATGCTGCGTAACATCCTGCTCTACATTTAGTACAAGCACACAAAGTAATTGAGCAGATCGAATTCTAATATCGACCAACCAATCACCAAGTTCAGAATTAATCCCATTGACAAGTTTACATAGATTTTGTTGAGCTATAACACGGCACCCTAAATTGGGTCTAGATACTGAAAATAATTTGATGTTTGAAGTTAATTTAAAGTTATCTTACAAATATTTATGTATTCTGTATACCATTTGTAGGATAATGCTCAGGAGCATCTATTAGAAAATCCATTTTATCTTTAAACTTTTGGTCAGACTCATTTTCTTCCATATATTTTTTACCAACTGCATCCCATAATTGAGTAGCTTTGTTTCTTACGCCTTCAATTTCATCATGTAATCCAGTCATTAACAATGGAATTAGTTTGTGCCACCAGCTGTATCTATCTTTTAACTCTAGCAGCCAATGTCCTGCTACTTCTACCACAGCTAATGGGAAAGTAAATAATCATATAGCACAATGAAGGAATAATCAAAATATTCATTTTTTCATTAAATACGGTAATTATCTACGGGATTCTAATAAACTAAACATACCTTCTCTAACAACTCCACTTTGATCAAAAAGTCTTACTGCCATAGGTGTTGCAACTTCCTCAATAGATTTGTTATTTCCATATTGTAAGACATCTCCTATTGTTTTTATGGATGCAACACGGACCTTGTAATGTTGATGAGTGAAGTTACTCAAAATAGGTTTAACCAGAATATCAGAATGAGAATAAAAATAGTTAGGTATAGACTTTGCTAACAGAGATATGCATTCACAACTTTCTTTCTTTACATTTGGATAATTGTCTGCCACAGTTCTCGCCAGGATTCCCAATAAATCTTCCAAATATATTGGAAGATGTTCTTTATACTTTAAGATAATCAATTTCAACAGCAAAATACAATTCAATCTGACTTCCTCAGAGGTTTCGATGAGTTCCTGGGATGCCAAACGTCTTGCCAAAACAGGAATAATGTATATAATGTTCTTGTCAGAGACTGGTAGGCATTCAAAGAATTTTTTTAGAATTTCAATTGATAAGTCACGGCATGCTTCCGCTTGATCGTTCAAAATTCGTACAATATGTTTGTGAATGTCTTCCCATATTTTTTCGAGATTCTTGGTCTCCAAGGTATTCTGAGCGTCGGAGACGACATTCAGAATTTCTTCAAGTCCCTCTTTCCTTCTTTTTTTATCCCCAGCTTGCAGAGACACACATATTTTATTAAGCCGAAGATCCTCTATTAAGGACATCGTTGTTTATTCTGTGTCTAACTTTTCCAATATCTACAACTACTAGACTACACGTTTTTACGTTTCTGAAATCCTCAGTAAGGTTGCTCGTTCTATTTGTTATATGCCATTTGTAAACAACCCATTTGGTGCCATGGTAACGGTATCAATAACTACTGATCGATCACTACCTACATTGCATATATTAGAAAAATTTGTTTGATTGGATCTATTTTAATATGAAATATTCGTACGAATAATTTGATCGCTAACATTTATTACAAGTATATGTCTATCCGACTTTCTAAACATTGTTTTAAAAATACGTCACTAGAAATATATTTATTTATGCTAGCGTGCTCCTAATACACGTAGCCATAAACTTTACAAGACCTGAACTAGCATTACATCATTGGTAAGTGTAATTATTGGTAATTTAACATCTTACGTCATTGCTGACTTTATATATTAGCCTTGTCAACAGTTAGTCTCCCAATGACACCAACCTAATTTTTTATCTATTCGACTATGGATACTATAGTGTATAGATAGTAAATGAGAAATCTACAATACTGAATTATGCATAAAATAATAATATACTGGTAAGACTCCCATTGGTATTGGAAAGTGCCACGGAGAAACTACTCCTCGACAAAGCAAATAATTATCATACTCAAAGTAAAAGCATTATCAGTTTCGACGTTATTCATCGTCCGAAAAATATAAAAATAGCATAGAAAACTAAGGAATAGATATGTGTTCCTGATGTAACACCCGGCATGAAACCGATTTCATATTCTTTTTTCTCAATCAGTTGTTCCATCGGCCTTCGTCCAAGCGTGACGATTCGCACAGAGCGATAAAGGTAGTTTCCATTTTCCTTTCTTATTTTAGTATACTTTAATTCTTATAGTCTATTAGCAAGCCTACCAAGGATTAGATCAATATGGAGCAATAATACTTAATCTTCCAAGGTAACGTTCTTAAATAGGTAAGACATGGACTCCTTGTTGTGAATGCGTCGAATTGCCTCAGCCAGCAGAACACTGATGTCGACTGTTTTTATTTTGTGACACTGCATTTTCTGCAGATCATGGGGGATCGTGTTTGTCACGACAACCTGGTGAAGACTAGTTTGTAAGAGGATATAGATCAATTGACTTAAGTGATGTTCGAGTAAATCATTCATACCTCATCAATAGCAGATTCCTCAATAACTCTAGGTGCATCAGAGCTCAATAACCCATGTGTAGCCAAAACATAAATTTTGTATGCTCCTCTCTCCTTCAACACTTCAGCTGCAGCAGCAAACGATTGTACATCGTCCACCATGTCATCCTAAAAATAATCTATGGGAAACAAGCACAGACTTTGTAACTTAATAGGAAACCAATGGAATTATCTTACCACCATAATAGCTATGCGTCCCCCAACGTCACCAACAACATTGATAGGAGGTTTTTCTTTGGCTGGATGTACAGGTACACCTACACCAACTTCCATTGTACGAGATGGCAAAAGTGCAGGCGGGGAATAACGGCCATCATTCATATCTGATTCAGATTCGCGTTGTTCTCCATGAATGACAGCAATACCTAAACGTAATCGCTCAGCATAACTAGTTGCTTTCTTTGCACTACCAGGATTCCTGGCTACAATTACTGAGTTCCGATAATCAGGAATCTATAATGTAAAACCTGAATTATAAGAATTCTAAAGAAATATTATTTTCGACTTACGCATTCTTGAATGTACTGCAACAAGAAAGGACTAGCCCTTAGATTATCTACTGGACAGTCGAAGAAGCCTTGTATCTCTTTTTGATGTAGATCCATAGTAATGACATGGGTCAAGCCACTTTTGCACATCATTTTAGCAAGAAGCTTGGAGACAATGCATCCCCGTTTACGCATTTTACATTGCTTGGAGTATGGCAAGTAAGGAATTACACCAACAATGCTCTTAGCAGAAGAAGTCTTACAAGCATAAGCCATAATCAGCAATTCCATTATATTATTATTCACGTCTTTAGTTCCAGTTTGAATAATATATACATCCTTCCCACGGACAGAATCTCCGATTTCTACCATCGTCTCTCGGTTGGTCTTGTGATAAACGGCACAACCACCATTCTTTACCCCCAAGCGGCTAAAGAATAATTACAAAAAAGAGAACATTTACAGTATATCCAATACATAGATTTTACAAAATCGTAATAAAAACGTACTTTGCTATTAGAGTTGCAAGTTCGGGATGGGAATTGCCCGCAATTATCACAACATCCGATGTAACTGGTCTCTCCATACTGGAATCTATTCTAACACTTAGAATCTAGCATAGAAAAGTACTTTTATACTTAACATTCAAACGATTCCAAATTCACAAGTATGCAATCACAATATTATGCAAAAGCACGTTACACGCACCTTATAAGATTTCGTGTTATGCCGAGATAGCCAGGTCGATTGGGTTAATACACGTATGAAATTATTCTTGAAAACGCTATGTCTCCGACCTTTAAACTTCTTCTTCTTGTCGTTTTAATTGGATTTGTGTTCTCTACGGTTCTCGGAGAACACAAATCCTGAGATTTCGTTTTATTTACCCACTATTATACACACATAAGCGGCTATCTGATTCCCAGTCTCGCCACAACTTTATTACACACTGACTAAAGTCCCCATACTATTTTATACAATTGGCAAATGACATTAGTAACCAGAGATCAGTAATCTCGCATTCAGAATGACATAAGGAATGGAATAAAGGAAATGTCAATAAAATTTAACACTTTTAAGATTATGCGAGCTTGTATGTACAATAGATTTTATTTATAATTATTAGTTTTAGTAAATTACTATTTTTTTCACTACTGCTACTCTTGTATATGTTACAGGTGAATTTGTCTAGTGATTGTTAACTGATTGTCTAAAGGTAAAGGGGAGTATCACCATACAGTGATTGTAGCAATAAAAAATATGCAGGCAGGACAAATTGATACTTCCGAACGTAGATTCGAAATAGAATGTAAATTGGAAGCTGAGATAGCAGGACTGATAGCTTTGAAAGATGCAGAAGAACATAGTAGAAAGTTGACAAGTGGTATGGTTGCAATACTTTCTTCTTTAGAGCAACGACTTGCTACTCTTCGCAGAACTATTCTTCCTGTTTATAACGAAACTGGAAACCTGCAATGTCAACAACATGGTACTAATTTAATTGTTACTATACTGTACCTTCAATTGCTACATTATAATATATTGTATCTTTATGTACAGATATTGAAAAAACCCTGACAATACTGGATCATGCCATTGGATATTATGGAGTATGCCAAGAAGTAGAATCTGCTGTTCGTGGTGGACCAAGTGGTGCAGGAGGTTTTGATGCATTTTTAGAAGCCATGAATCGGCTCCACAATGCTCAGCGTTATTTTCAAAAAAATAATCCAAGCTCAGTAGAATTAGAAAATGTCTCAACTCTTTTTGGCATTGGTTTGAAAGCACTTTATGCTGAGTTCCGTGATATTCTAGCCAGACAGAGCAAGCCTGTTCTGCCAATAGTTCTATTAGATTTAATTGGTTCCGATGAGGATACCAGTGGAGAGGATGCTCCACAGTCTCTTTGTCAACTTCCTGAAAGTACTCTGAGTGACTTGGTTAAAATTGCTGAATGGTTAGAAGAAAGAGGTCACAATAAACACACGAGTATTTATGCCTCAGTACGTAGCTCCATAGTACTACGATCCTTGCAGTTACTGAAAGAACATCAGAGAAGTGCTAGTGGAGGTAGCACTCATGCTGGAAGCCCGATGCCGGTGAGGATATTGTATCCAAGAGGCCTCCTTATTCAAAAATTTATGAATATTACGTATTTCCTTATAGAGAGCAAAGTTTGCAAATCGACACTCAATAGGAACTCAGGAGACAGCAGGTCGCAAAGCGTCTCGACGCCTTCAACACGCTTTGGAGAAAAAAGCTAGTCAAATGCTTATGAGAGCTTCGCAAACAACTGGTCTAGGTTTATCCTTTCCTTCGTCAAGGAAACCTGCACCACTTCCATCAGGACACGCGACCGAGGACGCTGCACCTGACGAGCAAGAAATGGAAAATTATCTTTTGCTGACAGCAGGACTTCACAAACTTATGCAAGCTGAGCGTTCACTGGTAGCTCGAGTTTTACCAGTGCACGTGCAGCCTCAGATACTCGCGGCGACGGTGCGGGACGCTATGGACTTGATGGCCCACGACGGCGAAAGCATTGCAACGCGTGCTAAACGTTGCATCACCAGACGTGATTTCTCAGCCGTCCTAGTAGTTTTTCCTATACTAAAACATCTTGGAGAATTAAAACCGGATTTAGAGAGGACAGTTGAAGGCTGTGATTACACTTTAAGGTCGAAATTCGCATCTGTTCTGAGTACATTAAACGCTACGGTACATATTCACAATACATTTACTCATACATGTATAATCTTTGTCATATTTGTCTCCTGGTTTAACGACCTAACTTCTTATCACGGTGTAATTCTTTTTATTTGTTTAGGGTGCAAAAGCGTTGGAAGATTTTGCTGAAAACGTCCGCAATGATTCAGGGTCAGCCTTACCTAAGGATGGTACCGTCGGTGAAGGCACCAGCAATGTCTTAGTGTTTCTTGAACAATTGGCTGAATATGCAGATACAGCTGGTGCAGTGCTTCGCCGTAATACCGATGCGGATACAACTGTTTCCTCTGCTCCTCGGCAACCAGAAAATGCACAGAGAGTATTACTCGGTGTTTATATCAGTATGTAATATTTTAATCTCACATTTTCAGTTTCTGCGATGCGAATCTTCAAAAGTATTGCTATATCTACTATAAAATTACAGAGAAGGTATTGGCCCAATTAAATCTGGCTTTGGTGAACAGAAGCGACGCATCTTACTCAGACATGGCTCTACGCGCTTTATTCCGTTTGAACAATCATAATTACGTAGTGAATGCACTACGTCGCAGTTCTCTCATGGAGCTATTATTGCTCACTGAGCCCAATGCAGAGCAAACCTATAGAGATCTTTTGCTGCAAGATAAGACAAATTATGTGTCAGCAACCTTTGCCAAGGCACGATCTTACTTGGAGCAGTCGGCGGATGAACCTGGTGAATAATTTTGATTGATATATTTGTATTGTGCAGGAAGGAAAATAACATACGAAATCTTTTCAGAACTCGCTTCCAAAATGTTGAAAGAACGTTTCGCTGGATTTACACGAGAGCTTGAAGAAGCTGCTAAATGCCAGCGTTCTTACTCTGTACCGGATCCTCGACTACGTGAAGAACTAAGAAACGAGCTGGAGCAGGCTTTAGTTCCTTTATACACGTCATTCTATAACAAATATCGTAACGCCTCATTCTCAAAGAATCCCAAAAAATATATTAAATATTCGCCGGATCAAGTTTCTGCTCTGATCGGTACATTCTTCGATACCGCTGCTTAAGATAGAAAACGAGTAAGAATTTCAAGTGATTAAATTGAAATATATATTTGAGAGGATGAATAACAGCGAATTAGTAAACACCCATTTAATAAAGCAAATTTAGTTACAATATTTATGCTTCCTTTCTTCATTCTGACCGAAGCCTTATTCCGCCATGCATACTGCACGGTTCCGACCTGTGGCAATTACGTCAGACACCCCCGTCCGGTCTCGTTTTATATATATTTATATATATATATAAAAAACAAGTAACGTTCGCTTTAGATTCGATTAGTAGCTTATACGTGTAGGTGATAGTAATAGGAATAATTTTGAACTCCAGCAATTATTTACAATTATTTGCTATGGTTCTGCTGTCTCTCTCCCTCTCTCGCATGTATCTCCAGACAGTCATTCACATACGTGTAACAGGCACAAAGGCGTACATGTTTCTCTCTCTCGCTCTCACACTCTCTCGTTAACAATTATTCTCTCATGCATACACATTCATTTTAGTAGATTCACTCTCTCTCGATCTCTCCCATGCGAGGATGCCGAGGTCCTCCCCCAGGTACATACATAAATTGTCAATCTGTCCCGTTGAGGAATCTGCTTCTCATTTTCTTTATCTTTCATCGAGCACTGCTATTAAATGGGGTTCAATCAGTTCTCGCGGATACGTACGTGTCGCGTGTTGTGCGTACAAATGACAGTTCCTACTCGACTGAAAGCAACGGTACGTTGTGTAAGATCCATAACCAGAGCCAAGGGTAACGGGGAGAAGACTCGGCATTAATTGTATGTCGCTGATGGCGACACATTATTGGAATCACATACACCTAAAACTTAGACAGTCATCTATCTTAAAGCATGGTATGTATATAGTAATATTTTTGTTGTCGTTCATATATACTCGTTAATTATAATATTATTAATATACTCTAGTATACTGTACACAATCGGTTCATTTTGGCTTCTCTCGCACCCCGCTCGCCTCGTTCACCCAGTTCAAAGTTCATCGTCGACCTTCCTACCTTTTGCACTCGTGCTCGTCCACAGAAATACTCCAAGACACGGTGGTAGCCTCTTATTTAACATCATCCTTAAGATCTTCTTGGTTTACTGACTTTCTTCTCTTTTTCTTGAATCTTTGATTTCTGCATAATGTCCTCTTTTTCGTCTAATCCTTCCACCGTATCGTTTGCTCAGCTTGTGCGCTTTTGTACCAGCTACGTTCCGACCGTTTGGCCTGGGAGCTGGGTGATAGTTATCAGAATCACCCAGGTACAGAATGGGACGAGGGGGTCCAGGATGGGTCGCCGTTAGTGAATCGACAGGAAATACGGGACACAGGAGGTGTGGCGCAGGTTGGGTGCTCGAGGGTAATTAGGCAGCAGTAAACAATTAATATTATAGGAGGCAACACTTGCGCCTTGGCTTCACTTGAAGGACGGGACAGAGGACGGCACGTATCGCTTCGTCGAACACAGTTTTCAGTCCCTTCTGCGTCAGAGCTGAGCATTCCAGGTACTTAACAGCTCCAATTTCTTTTGCCATCGCCAAACCCTGTGATAAGATAATAAATACCAAATGTCAGTACAATCCAACTCAAGAAACTGTTGTGTCAAAGAAACTTATAGTTATTCAAACCTTCATGCGCAGGCTAAATGAATAGATTCATAATATTATGTACCTGCGGATAGGTGATGGGTGCAAGTTTCTTATCCTTAAGTCGTTCAATAGTCTCCTTATCCTCACGTAAATCCAGTTTAGTGCCAACCAGGATAATAGGAGTGGCAGGGCAGTGATGACGAACCTCTGGATACCATTTAGCACGTACATTCTCAAAACTGGCAGGATTGACCAAAGAGAAGCAAATAAGAAAGACATCAGTCTGCGGATAGGACAGTGGTCTCAGCCTGTCATAATCCTCCTGTCCAGCAGTATCCCATAGACCAAGATTTATAGGTTTTCCATCCACCATAACATTTGCTGAGTAGTTGTCGAATACAGTGGGAATATACTCCCCGGGGAACGCATTTGTCGTGTAGCTTATCAGCAAACATGTCTTACCGACCGCCCTGTACACGGATAAGAAATGATACACACGCAATTAATCCGTCGTATCTCATGCGAGTAACCAGCTATAAACCGCCACGCCCGTGCCCGTGCAAGAAACCGTTCACGGGAAGAGCGTTAAACGGCGGCGTAACGTTCGTAGAAGCTTCCTTTGGGAACACGAAGCAATGAGGAGTAAACTATCAGGAAAAGACAACCCGTTGTTGTGTGCCACTTCATGTATTCGATATCCCAGACGGACTTCGACAATCGCATTTGAAAAATTCACTTCAATAATAACACTTACCCGTCGCCAACCACAACGCACTTAATCGCCTGCATCGTCGCTTCGAGCGTCGCCAGGAGATCACGAGAATAAGGAAAGTCGCGAAGGAAATTCTATTCGATTCGAGAGAGAGAGAGTAAGTGCAAGAGAGTCGGAGAGACCTCGAGTAGGCGAGAGAGTAGGGGACTATAGGAGGGACTGAGTGAGAGGCCTACCAAGTGACAGAGATGAAATATCCTGCCTTCCTTCTCCTGGTGGCTTTACCCTCAACGTGAGGTAAGTGCCAGAAGAGAGAGATGGGTATCGAAAGAGGGTAGGACTGACAGCAAGGAGAGTCTAGAAGAGAGACAGGGAAAGCCAGATAGTATGTGGCTCGGAAGAGGAGAGAACAGAGAGGGAAGGCCCCAACGAGGAGACGTGGAGTGGTGAGAGATAGGAAAAGACTTTGGGAGGCGATCAAGAAGGAAGGAGAGATGACCGCGGAAACTGATGGGCTTGACGGGAACCACGACCACGGCGGGAGGTATTATGGGTATTATGGCAGTAGCGGGCTGAGCTGGCGGCCCACGACAGGAGAGCCCCGGAGAGGCTACCTTCGAATTATGCTGGACTGCACAACAGGCACGAATGGCGGGCCCTCTATGGGCTAAACGTTCTCCTGGACGAACAGAGACTACTGGAGGCTACGATGCCACCATGAGTAACGCTTGTATCAGCAGAGACCCAAACTCTGAATATTATCAGGAATCGCGGGCGACGGTATCCATACGCCGACTCAGCTACGATTTGTGAGCTCATGCGACTTGAACCCAAGTATGGACGACGCTCACCGTAACGTCATTACTACTGGATCTTTACATCCGGTTATGATTTTTCCCAGAATCATAAACTCAGGCTTCACTTTTTCTACGCGGAACTTATAATTATTCGTTTAAATGAACGTATGCGTCACGTATCTACCAGACGCATTTGTAAAGAGCTATAACGTTTATCTGACATCACTTTTCAAGATCAATTTGACACGTTCATATTCATTTGACCTGTCAACAGACATTATTAAATCTTGCATAACTATTTTATGCAAATTTTATCAATATGAACTATGATATTTGTAATAAAATAAAATAGTCTGTAACTTCTTTGCTTTGTCGGTTATTTAGTTTACTGCAGGAATCTTACTGGTTATCGGTTAGCAATACGATCAAAATAGAAATTTTCTCAAGATTAAAAATCTTTTTACGAGTTACAAGTGGAGCAGAATAACCGATAGTTCTTTTTTCTTTTTATGATCAATCCATCCTGTTTCACTTTGTGTTTAGGAAGCTGCAGACGTCATATCCCCTGGACAGGACGTTTTTTTTTAGATTCTTTTAAGTACAAAGTAGAAACGCTAGTACGGCCTCTAGACTAGTCTAGACTAACGACCTAGAAATCTTAACCAAGCGTTTGTCAAAAAAGGATTGGGATGAAAGTGACAAGAACACTCATACGTAGAGACTGACAGCCTTGGTAAATTAGAATACAGCTGAATCTTGTGTTTCTGACACAATTATAGTTTTTATAGTAGGAATTCCAATCTCGACAGTCAGTGTTGGCCACGGCTACAGCTTAATCATGGACGCAATACGGTGGTCATGGTTGGCATGTCGCCATGAAGCTTGAGGTGTTTCCCACATGCGAAATTACATATAGTTGTTCCAAGCCTTTAATATTATAGACATTATACATAGTTTGATATTTTTATTTATAATTTTTCAGATATTTATTCACAAAGAGAGACGAACAGCTACAATGATAAATGGACGAGCGATTTTGTAATCAGACTGTCGTTAAATAACATTTTTTAATTCATTATTAACCTTGAGCAATTAAAATTTTAGTATACTCCTTAGTACTGTTTCTATTTCAGTTAACTGTTCTCATCAATTTTATTTTTTACAGTAACTTGTTGAACGACGTCGTTCGGCACGAATCATTTGTCTGTCAAAAATTCATTAGCGTGCAATTTGTAAATATGTAGCACAGAAACAACAACCCACTATTGTTCATGCTGTATGAGCTGCCAAAGTGTCACGAATTGCAGCACGATAGTCATTTGATTGGGTAGTTAAATGACGATGTCAGAAACTGTACGCCTGCGCAAACTTCAATGCGGCCACGCAACGTGTGTATCCTTACGACGATAATAATATACGCCCTGGTTTCACGTTAGATAATTTTGCACGCAGTGACTCCTAGTTATCGTAAGACAATTATCTAAAACAAGATAAAAACGAGAAAGAAAAGGTGTCGATTAAATCGTAATGTCATCTGAATCAAGTGGACATAAGAAACCAGCAAGGATAGTAAAAAGTAGAACGAGATTCGTCATACATTTAATTCGCTTACGTTCCTAAAAGCGTCCTGTGATTATTTAAAGAGAATAGAATGATGGCAATTGCCATGGGAAATTTGGCCACTTTATGGTATCAGCAAGTATTCGCCCTTGATGCGAAATACAACTCTCAACGTGCCGCAGGCCATGCTAATTTTGGTACGTGTTACTTCTGTCATCCATCAACGCTCGGTGCGCGCGCATCGTCCTTGTTTACTCCCCACTTCCCATTTAGTCTATTTCCGGAGTTTGAATATACCGGAATTGAGACCTCGGTAGCTGGAGAACATTCGTTGTTCTATGTGACAGTATTTATACACTTACGTTTGATCTTTGTTACAGGTACCCTTTATATACGACGGAGAAGTCAGTTACTTCGTGAGAAATATTCAAAGAATCCGGAAGTTCGGGCACGGTATTTAAAATTACGTTCAGAATTGTTAAGACGCCGTTATGGAGGTGCTACTGATCAAAGTATTTTTGGTAGTCGAACGACTATTGATGAAGGCTCAGATTTGGGAATAAGATCAAGAACAATAGCAAGAAGATCAATAGCTGAAAATTTTGCATTTGCTGGTGTACATCATATCTTTGATCAGCATACAGCAGCTGTGCCAATGATTAAATTTGCTAATAATGATAGATCCAGACTGTGCTGTGCTTCTCTGGATGGTACAATATCTATCTGCGAAGCAACTACTACACCACCAAAGGTTATGGTCCTTATGAAGGGACACAGAATGGGTGTTACTGCTATAGATTGGAGTATAAGTAATGATTTGATAGTTTCATCCTCATTAGATGCAACAGTCAGACTCTGGGGTGTCCATTCAGATGCAGATCCAGTGTGTCTAAGAGTTGTCAATGACCAATTGCGGTCAGAAGTATTATGCTGTGCTTTTGTACCTGCAAACAATAATTTAATTATTGCTGGCAATTCACAAGGACTCCTACAAGTCCTTAATGTATCAACAGGAATTTATCCACGAGGAGGGACATCGAAAATTGGTGGAAAGGTTAACCAGTAAACCTTTAGCCTCCACAAAACGAGTTTGATAAAATTGACAGTCAGTAGAATAACACACGTTAATTTTAGATCTTGGCATTAACATGCGAAGAGAGTGGAGGCTCCTTGGTGTGGGCTGGAAATGATAAAGGAATCATTGTTTCATTTCACTTGGATTCTGGCTCAGGACGTTTGTCAAAATTACGTCGCATTGATGGAATTGGTGGAGCAGTTACAAGTATCTCCTGGCGTTCTTGGCTTTCAAAGGAAACTCCATGGCCAGCCCTACTGGTTAGCAGTGCCTGCAATACAGTTTATCTTTATCGCGTTGCCAATTCTCAAGGTTTTCTAACAATATGGAGAAAATATCCTGTGAAGCATAGGTATTATTGAAACAAATTCATTTTAGCATTAACAATCTCTGTGTAGAGGTTGTAATAACTTTATATCTCTCATGTATTTTCAGGCAATACCTGGTGCGTTCGACATTCTGTCCTCAGATGGGAGCCTGTCTAATAGCTACAGGCTCTGAAGAAGGTGCTATTCATCTTCTAGATTCTACAAGAGAAGGGAAGGGTGCAAGAGTAAATCGTCTACAAGGACATGCAGCACCTACAATTGCTCTGTCTTTCAATTATGACGAGTCTCTCCTGGCTTCAGCGGATCAACAGGGTCTGGTGATACTTTGGCGAAATCGACAACGTAATTTATAAATTATTGATTTACTTGATTGAAGATATCGTGTTCAAAACATCAGGCGATTATCACGATATACTGATTCTATATAACAATATATTAATCGTCCTCTATTTGGATGTTATTCTATAGATTGTAATAATGATGAACATGTATGATGATGAAAGTGATAATGATAATAAGTAATGACTATAGAACTGTGTTAGAACTTAGACGCAACAGAGTAATACGAATAGTGATAAGAGTTATGATGTAACTTTAATAACGATAACTGCTGTAATAGTCACGGTGATGATCACGATGATGCCAGTAACGACAGTATATATATAGCAAGCACCGTAAGCACTTTTTTAAAAATATATAATAATGTCTATATGCCAAGCTGTGAAATACGCTACGATATAAAATGAACAATTTTCGTGGTACAGATATTTTTGTAAAAGATAAAAATCGTTTAAATTCATTAACCGAATAATGCCTGTTTATTCTACGCTTTGAGATTTCCAGTAAAGATATAATATACAAATAATTTCTCTTGCAAAATCTGCAATGCCTATCTTTACCATCATTATTTAAATTATCTTTCTTTTCAAAACAGTCCAAGCAATTCTGACACAATAAATCAAAAAACAGACAACACGTTCCCATACATGATCCTCACCATATAACTATCAAAGTACGATTTCTTCACCACACAACGTGCGGCTGTCAAAAAGAAAATAGACAAGAGAAAAGAAAAAAACAAGAACTAATTAATGCAACCAGTATCACAGGTTCGCGTTCTAAAAGGGCAACATATGAGGGATAACGAGCAGCGCAGACTTGAGCTGCGCTCGTTATAATTATTTGTAAAATAGAGAGCAGTCTGCGACTAATTATAACAATAATAATATATATGTATAGCATGAATATATATATAAATTGAAACCATGAAGTAATAATGATTAACGAGTGAGAATGAAACGATGATGACTGAAAATATAGGCACTACCATTGATGCGTACACTGTACCATTAAAATAATAAATATTTACACGCATAACGAAATTTACTCGATTCTTGATTTTAAGTATGGTTTGTCCTTGTTTTATATCAGCTTCCTCCCTTTACTTATTTTCCGTTTTGAACTCCAGTGTTCGCCTGGCAGAGGACAGGCATGCAAGGGAGCTATTATTGTATAATACCGTTTCTACGCTATTCTTGACCATTTTACTTTTCGTCTGGTACGAGAAGTCGTTCGATCAACAACGCGTGGCTGAGATCTCTATAATTTTGGACGGAGAAACATAATTAATTTCATGAGAAACGTGCCTGACAAAACATTAGATATCGCTAAGCCAGTGCATAAACCTAAGTGTCTATATAAAATTGCCGATCGGTTCGCAATAGTAAGATCGTAATTGCTAGACCTGTGTTATTATATACAAAAAATTGGGATTGAAAGTACAGTAATAATCTCGTCTGTGATGCAGGGAAACACTGTCTAATTGACGAGATTGCATACGGACGGACTTTGGCCAATCGGGTATTCTCTTCTCTTGAACTCTGTCATTTTCTACAGCTTTTTCTCATTAATGATGAATTTTCTAATCGTGTCCTAGTACACTACACGTCTCGTTTGTTTGGACGTTTTCATGATTTTCGGACGGTTATGGTAGTCCGGTTGGTACAACCATCAGTTTATCATCGTCGACAGTCTTGCAAGGTGACAAGTCTGGTTTTACCGGAGAACTGTCACTCTTGCACTCTTTTTCATTTTGTACGGTTGGTGATACTATTTCTTGTTCGAGGATCGTAACTTCTGGTGGTTCTTGTACTTTCTCTGCTCTTGAATCAACTGCACTCTCGTGGATATCATTACTTAGCGTTGTGGGATTACATGGTATCACATTAGTACCATTAGACGACAGTAGATTTAACTTCAAACGATCTCTGGTATGCCTCAGTTCGCCTAACTGATGTTGATTTTGTTGATCTTGATAGGATTGCTGATCGTTTTGATCCAAATGAGTCTCCTGTGCCTGATCCGGTTGCTGACATTGCTGTAACATGCCGGAATTTGCCCCTGGGAAGAACTGACTAACGTATTTTCCATTGCCAGCTTGAAATTGGAATGGACGGCTTGAACTGCTCACGTAGAATTCTTCGCTTCCTATAATATGAGTTTAAAATATGCGTCATATTTTTTTTTAATTATTCTTAATAGAATTTGATCAATTGCTCACCTGCATGATCAGGTTCATCGTAATCCAATGGATATAGATCTAATTTTGGTTCGTCCATCATTTCTTCCCAGTCTATATAAATCATTAAATTATTCAGATATGAGATTACTTGTTGAATATACTTCGTCTTAAAATAATGTAATAACTATCTCACCAGCATATGAAGTTGGCTCCCAGGTTGTTACTGTCTGATCCTGCGCTTCGGTGGGTAATGTCTCCTTAGGGTATTCGTAGACGCAATGGTAGCGCTGCTTCTTAAACCACACGCTCTTCTTTTGATCCTATACAAATTGCCGATCTAATTCGTTCCGGATGTATGTCGCGCGTTGGATGTAAAACGAGGAGCCTATTGAATATAGACCTACGTCTACTAGAAATAAAATCTCTAATTCAAAGAGCCAAGGAAGCCACGTCCGATCGCGAGCTGTCCGTATTACGTCGTGCTTTAAAGATAAACACACCTACCAATTCATCCTAGCAGCGAGATTCAATGAAAAAATCGAGCCTGTCAATTGCCATAGAATTTTGAAAGAAATAATGGATAATTTCGAGTTCAAACTTACCCCGGATTTCTGCGTTTTATCAGGAGATCTTAGGGCTGATCTATGTGGAGCCAATGTAGCGTCCCAGGCAGATGGTGTAAATTCCTCTTCCTCATCCTCGACCTCTCCATCCTCATCAGCATCCACTTCAGACTCCGCTCCTGTAGTTTTATCATCGTTCATTCCCTCGTCCTCCATTTTGCCAGCTGGTTCCTGCTCATCGTATCTCTAACGATTTTTAAATATTTTTAATTGTCTGCAGAATATCAATCTATTTTGATATTTTAATTTATACCTTCCAAACAAACTCGCCGGAACTAGAACTGTTCTCTTCCTCTTCCTCCTCTTCTTCGTCACCATCATCTTCATCATCCTCTTCCTCGTCCTGACTATCCCAATCTGGTTCACCAGCAAAGCTTGTTGACATGAGATCATCTTGAGTGGGTAATGGCAACGGAAATGGTGGAGGAAGTTGCTGCCACTTTCCCTCTTCTTCAGGACTTGGCAATGGACCACAACCACTATTTCCTGGCCGTATTCGAGATTCGTTCTCCAGTGGGTGACGTTGTAAAGAACTCCTAGTGTTATAATGAACATTCTCTTCGTCGTCAGAAAGATCATCGTTGGATGTATCTCTATCATCTTCTTGACCAGATGGCATCTGTTCTCCAACTCCTTCCAGCAATACTGCTTTGTTCGTTCTGGTATCCACCAAGAGTACATCTTCAGATGGAACTGACTCCTTTGAAGCTATTGAATCATCCCTAGAATCATCTTTAGATATGATAGATTCAGATGTAACTGTACTTTCTCTTTCTTCTAGGATAGGACTCAAAGGAGTTCCATATACATTGTATCTAATAGATATGTCTACTACCCCACTTCCTTGTTCTTGGGACTCTTCAGAATCATCATCATCCCACCGTTTACTTTCAGCAGTGTCACTTGCTATGGAAGGCTCATCGTCATCGTGAGGCTCTTGAGCTTCTACCACAGTTCTTTGAGCTCGTGGTAACTTTTCCTTCAGCTCATTTCGTATTGCTGTTACAAACTCTTCATCTAAACAAAAGGAAACGTACGAATTATCACTACGTAAACTAATAGTGGAGCTATCTTCGTCCTCATTCTCATTATCTCCTGTTGATAACTGATCCACATTCGCTGGAGTATTATCTAATTGATAAAATTCTGAGACAGAAGTTACTGTAACATTCGGAGGAGTAACTTTATGAGAGGAATCATTACTGATAGTTGAATCATTTACTTTGGTATTGATACTGAGCTTTTCTAGTACTTCTTCGCTTTCTTCTCCTTCGGAGATAGCTGATTTCTCACTCTGAATATTAGTTTCTAATTCTTGGTTATTTTCATCTTTCGATATTTCGTATTCCTGACTTTTTTGATTATCACTTGTCCTTAAGTCTTCCACGAGATCAGGGCTATGATACCTAGGACGTTGTTGAAGAATTTCTGGACACGTATAAAGGGGTGTCTCTTCTGATTTTATCATTTTATCGTCAAGGACATCCGGTGATAACACTTCCTCGATCAACCCTCCTGGAATCGTAGGAGTACCATAATACTCAGCATCGAGGATAGCATCTAATTCGGAGAGTATCCGTAGCTGCTCGTCTTCCGGTGATATGGATATCGGCATGGTATGAACGAGAGGAAGTAGTGGGGGTGGCGGAGGGATGCAGGGAAGAGGACTTTCCTCTTCCTCACATGATTCCTTATCTCGAAATCCAGAGTCAGAGCTTCTCTCGTCGTCTGGAGTAGAGAGATGCTTCCTGTCTATCTCCTCTTCAGCATCCGTAGAAATTTTCTTTCTCTCAATGTCGAGTTCCTCCACAGTTGACAATTCATCATCTCCATTTCCTATTTCGGAATAGTTTCCACGAGATTGGGGTGTGTCTGGTGCAGATGCTGTTGTCACAATTAATTCAGGAGCTACTTCTTCAGGATAGGACGATGATTCCGATTCTACCTTGATATCACCCTCCTCAGAGAAACCTGGTAATTTTTGTTCAAGGGCTGAATCCAGCACATGATTCCAGAGATCAACATCTACTATATTACTGTCAGTTCTATCAAGATTGTCGTCATTAAAGTTATCCGAGAAGCAAGGGACATACTCGCTCCCTGCCAAATAAGAGTAGATTGTTTGAAATTCTTGTGTTTCCTTGAAGTTCTCAGAAGAAGATGCGTGATCAGGCACATATCGTAAGAGAGGCTGGTTAGGGTCTCCCTTGGTTAAAAGTCTCAACACATGTTCTTCCTGATGACTAATATCTTTCGCAGGGGCGTTAGAACTAAACGTACCGGTTTTTTGTATGACCTCAGTTTCCTTTGGTCCAAATGATAACCTTAATATTGGTGTCTTCTCCTGATCTGTCACTAAGGTTAAGAGCTTAGGCCTCTCCGAGATGTCAGTTATCTTAGATCCCCGTATACTGCCCTGTAAAGGATCACGCAGTTTCCTTAAGGCTTCATCGAATTCATCAGCAAGTACGGTGCTTCTGAGATCGCCATCACTTCCGGTGGCTGTTATACGTTTTTTAACAGGTTTTTCTATAGCTTGAGCTCCCATTGACCACTCAGCTTCGGAATCCGAATCTATGTGAACAAGTACCATTAGATCAGCTACAGATTTCGATTTCTGTCGAACTTTCTCTGTATAGGCTCCTCTCTCTACTCTCCCACGCCAACTTTCTTCCTCGGTTTCCGAGCCTGACTCCTGCTGCGATATACTTTGTATAGCGCCTGGGATATTCTTAACAGGTTCGCCAGGTCCTAAGCGAAAGGATGCCAGTGGTGCTGAATGAAGCTCTTCTTCGATACGTGACCAATGTTCAGAATCAACGCTACCCCGTAGATCTTGCAAACTGGCACTTCTTTTATCCTCCTTTATAGTGTTTGGTCGTAGGTTTTCCCATCGCTGCTCAAAGTCTTCCGATTCCTGTTTTTCTCCAATGAGGATACGCTTTACTTCTTCGAGGGTAGGCCGTTTAATTGGATCTAGGTTCCAGCTAGGTTGCATCGCGTCGTAGAGATTCTGTGGACAATGTTCGAGTCGTTGTAGAAGAAGGTGTGAGCCAGCCTTTTCAAATTCTGATTTTGAAGAAAGTAACATCTCAATAACCTGCTCATCGCCTAGATTATCGTAAGGTCGTTCGCCCCAAGTCACAATTTCCCATAGAAGAACAGCAAAACTCCACAAGTTTGCTTGAGGAGTAATCTCCCAAGTCTCGATGGTAGTTTCTGTACATTCTATACTCTCTGGTGCGGACCACCTTATAGGCAATGCTCTATCGCCGACAATGTAGTAATCACCAGGATACTTCTCTACCCCGGTTCCATAATCGCCCAGCTTCGCAGATAGATCAGATGCAATGAGACAGTTCCTCGCGGATAAATCGGTATGAGCGAATCCATGTTCGTGCATATGTCGCAAACCAGTTGCTATTTCAATTGCAATACGAGTGGGTATGTTTTCCTTAAGAAGGGCATCCTTAGAACGAGAATCACGATTTGAGAGAAGAAATCCTTTGAGGTCACCGGGTGGACATGACTCGAAGAGGAGCAAGTATGGATCAGCTTCCAAACAAGAACCCAGTAGAGAGAGAACATTTCGATGGCGTAGTTTCAGGTACGGTGTTGCTTCACCAAGAAACCAAGCTTTCTCCTTTGTAGTTGCTTCTTCGGTGAGGATTCTCACTACGACGCCTCCATTCTTCAAGGTAGTTTTCGAATTTCCAAAGTCTGCTTGACCCTCAACCACTTTACCAAACCACCCACGTCCAATTTCTCGAAGATATTTAAGCTTCTCCCTGGGTATGTGGCGACCGGCAGTGTCAAACCATTCTCGGCATGGTTCCTGCAACGCTGATCGATCTGCATCATGATCTTCTCCAAATAAGGAAGGAGAAGGTGGTGGTGGCTTTGGTTTGATCGCTGCTTTGGTATTAGGAACAATACGTTCCACTGGTAGGGGCTCAAATTGAACACGATCGACTATAGCCACTGTCCGCGACACCTCTAGCTCCAGACTGCCAAGAGAGCTCTCAAAGGTTGATGTATGCCCTGCAGTACTGCCATCTTTAAACTCCTATAATAACAACATTAACATGGTTTATTCAATGATACAGCACTGTTAAAATTGCTGTCCATACAAAAGAAATTCGCTACACGTTTCAATAACGCCTACCAAATATTTGCAAAGTTACCTGCTCGCATTTTCCTCCACCTTCCTATAATTAAAAGAAAATTCATTTTCGTGCGTTAACACAACTGAGTGGCAAATTTTTACTAAACGTGTGACATTAGATAGCTAAATTGTGCACAATTATTCTGGATAATTACTTGAAATCCTGCAGGACGCCGATGTCTTCTGCAACACAGACATCCAACCAAAGTAAATGCGGTGACAGTAATACTGAAGAGTCCAACAGTATATCGGAGCCAATAACGTTCCCAATACCAAGGTGAACGGTACTCCTGTGCATCTAGTGAATCTATGTAAATTAAAAACAATACAGTACATATTACAACGTTAAAACAAAACCGCAAAAACAATTTGAGGTATACCTGTTAGGACTGGAGAAGAAATTGGGTAAGCAGTGAGAGTTGTAAAACTCTCCCAAAGGAACCAGCAAATCCACCAGAAGTACCGCATTTCTTTCCTCTGCTCCGTCGACGAGTTCTCCTCCTACGTCATTTTCAAGCTTTTGCTCTCAACCTCTGGAGAGTACGTACGAGGAGAAGTATACTTCTTAGTACTTCCTTTCTAAGCGACACGCTCCAATTTCACGACATACATTTCACTAATCTCACCTCTAAGTGAAGCGCCGCTATAATTCGAAATATTCTAAGTTAACTAACCCCGACTGGTAGTGTCCAAATCAAAATGCGAAATCCTCAAAACACAAGCGACGTACAATAGTATATCACATACGCATTCCTCAGGAAAACTACCAGGAACATGCATGATATTTATAATAAAATGAGCACGGATCACTGTCCCCGTCTTTTAAAATGAATACTAGGTAGGCGTATACAATACAATCACGTTCACCGTTCTCCAGTCTTCATCCACCTACTCTTCTTTATCATCCTAAACTCCCTTTCAAGACCTAGCGAAGAGTCTATTTCAATTAAGAGTACCAATCTGCGCTCTTTTTCTCAATACTATTTTCAATATCCCATACAAATTTGCCGTTAGCACAATTTTTAACGTTACTCTTGACTTCTACGCTCCCACTGGATTTTACCTGATCCTACCCTACTCTATGGCCGACTATCACCTCTGTATCACTTCTCCCAGGAAACGTTCGGCCTATCAAAAAGTTACGTAGAGATATACTCGGCGTATGGTAAAGTAAAAAAGACAGAGATCGTCAAAGAGTAAACGTAGCGCAAAAATACAGAAAGCGGCGCCACTTTTCACGGATCCCACTATACATTCATTTACATATTGTATCTACTTATGTATTATCAGGCAAATGACAACGAAGACATCTGTGATAATCATTGAGAATTTTATACTTCTCAGCCGGTAATATCAGACACTCAACCATCATGCCATCGCGCACTACCTAGAGGACCATTGTCCACAATCGTCAGGACTTATAATCGGGGTAACCGACTATTTCGCAGGTACCTAATGTCCAGCTATTATCGTCTTTATCAATGAGCACAGAAGGGGCACGTTAAACTAGTACGTTTCATAATGCTCCGAATGACGTAAGTCTCTTCGAAACGGCACTTTAGAACTAAAAGGAGAATGCGACTAGGAAATTCTTTAACAATTCTCGTTATATTATTGACAAGGCATATTTACATCATAGCGACAACAATGTCCGAACATATGTTTGTCTGTTTTAAAAGCTTAATATATTTTTTTGAATTTCCTAATGGATAAAAGTATTTTGTAATAATTCTTGCGTATCTGAAATTAAATTTTGCCGCTGGATTTATAGATTGATTGGATGATGTCAGAATTATCATTCCAATGCTCCAATTTACAATTCATAATGTGTCCATTTTACGTTGTATTAACTGCCTAAGAAACATTGACTGTTAATGTTGGCGGTTGGTCGGCCATCTGCCAATGTTTCAGCCAGAGCCACGTCATATTTGTGTATTGTGTAGTCGGATCGGCGAGGCACATTTCTCGCATTTTTCCACAGAAATCAGTGCGAATTGAAACGAAGACATGAATATATTCCGACTCTTTGGTGACCTCTCGCATCTTCTGGCTATTATTATTCTTCTCCTCAAGATATGGAAGACGAGAAGCTGTGCCGGTAGGTTCTGTCGGTCGACGCAGTTGGAATAATACAAGACGCTGTACATTTCTTACGTTGTGTTACAAAGACTTTTATTTGATTGAGGCTGCTGTTTGCGTTATACATTATTTATGACATCAATATTTCACAGGTATAAGCGGCAAATCACAAATTTTATTCGCAATTGTATACACTTCTCGTTACCTCGACTTGATGACCACATACATCTCAGCGTACAATACGTTTATGAAGATCGTGTTCGTCGCTACTTCTTATGCCACTGTCTTCCTGATGTATATGAAGTTTAAGGCTACTTATGATCGTAACCACGATACGTTTAGGTATGGATTTAGCTTAATATTGTTTTGTTTCACTTATAATTTATTTATGCTTACTTCAATGTTGTACTTTTGCAGAATTGAGTTTTTAATTGTGCCTGCAGTCATCCTAGCCCTTGTGATAAATCAAGAGTTCACTGTTCTGGAAGTGCTGTGGACATTTAGCATTTACTTGGAATCGGTAGCAATTCTACCCCAGCTTTTCTTAGTGTCGAAGACAGGAGAAGCAGAAAGCATTACGAGCCATTATCTCTTTGCTCTCGGATCATACAGAGCTTTGTACCTTCTCAATTGGGTGTACCGTTATTATGCTGAAGATCATTATGATTTAATTGCCATAGTTGCAGGATTAGTACAAACTGTTCTTTACTGTGACTTTTTTTACCTTTACATTACCAAAGTACTCAAGGGAAAGAAGCTGCAATTGCCAGCTTAGCTAGTTATGAGTATTATAATATCAGGTACCACAAAACTGCCCATCGTCGTCGACATAGTCGATCGAGTCTCATTAGCGTAACGTGAACGCCAATGTGAATGCAAACGCTGAGGCAAGTGTGAAACGCGCGCACACAGAAGAATACATTCGGCCGAGACTGATGCCACTTGATTCTCTACTCTTGTTTCCTTTCTCCATCTCCTCATCCCTAATATCTTTGTTTTGTTATCATCTGAGTATTCTGCGCGTTCCCTCAATGGCGCTGTACATAATAACGATGTATCAGTGAAGAACGGTCAATCCGTGTCTTCCCGACAACGTCATCGCGTCTCGTGTCATCCTAAACCTTGGTCTATAGTAAATTTGTATACTGACGATCAGAGTGAAAAAGGAACGAGTAGAATAAATTTCTGTCTATCCATATTTAAGTTGTTATATTATGATTTTAATAATTAAATATGACTATAATAATTACAAATTGTAAGCGCTTAATATATCTAAAAATCCAGAAACGCAAAAGTTTGCCTCATGTTTCATCCTTGCGAGTAACTGCATCTGGATACCAGATATTTTGCCAGGCTGGTTATGTGAACAGTTTCCGCCAACGTTGTTGATTTACTTATAACTTTCACAAGACCATTTTTGAGACTCGTTTCGTCAACCTTAACAATGAAGGGAGCGCAATATATCTCTGTGGCTCGATCATCTTGCGTTAGAATTGTATCGAGACCTCTTGCCCTTAATAAATTGTTAAGATAGACTATCAATTGATTCGCATCTTCTGAAAAATAATCAGTGTCTGTATTCGTCGATGGGGCGTGAAACGTGACTTTGTACGGCGATAGTTTTGGATGAATATTAAAATTTCCTGATTTGCCAACACCGTCACACAATAGTGCAAGACACCCCCAATCTAGGGATGTGATATGCTCTACTAGATGGGAATCACAAATGCTATTTCCACTGTAGTCATCCTGGAAAAATAATGTTGTGATTGAAAGTAGAAATTTAGATCTATCCATATTTTCTAGTAATACTTGACGAGATACTGTAATTACTTTTAGGATATACTCTATAAATAATTATCTGACCTGAGTAAATAACTTCCGTACGTTACGATTGTGAGTTATTGTATCAACTACTATATTTCCAAAAGGAAATTGTGCCTCTATTTCAATGGATTCACGGTTCTTGCTTCTTTTTGCTTCGGTGAATGCAAATCTAGATGGATCCTGTGCAATTTTACGCCACCAGACTTTACGCTCTCTTTGCTTTTTGTGAAATAAATCCTTAGCTGTAGATTCATTTGCTATTATAGATACTTTTGCAATTTTATGGGAAAAAGTTTTCCAACCAGGTTGAAAAAAGCTTTGGTTCCAAGTAGTTTTTGAATTTTCTATAATTGCAAGCCCAAATGGCAATGTATCCACTGCGGTATCTGCTAAGTAGTTCAAAGTTTCATTTACTTGATCAGAAGATGTTGGAAAGACATTATAATGGGGCATGGTGATACAGTGCTGAAACCATAAATTCTCAACATTACGGTACAGCATTTTTCCTTGAGGACCATAGGTAAATCCTCGTTCTGTTAAGTTAATAAAGCCTGTGCCAATTTTTTGTAAAATTTGCTCCATGTTCTTTATTCTTTAGGTATGTTCCCTGGTGGTGCTACGAAGTAATATTCATCAACCACAGCAGCATTCTTCAGTATCTTCTCACGACAATCACCCTCATTGACTTTGTCTTCCCTCAAACGCAACTTTTCTCTTTCAAGAACACTATACATAGGTTTTACAGATTCATCTATATGATATGTCTTTAATAATTTTGCAAAGCGTATCGCTGCTTCGAGCCTCTTGACGCCTTCTTCGTTACCAAAATCAACCAACGATATTCTTTCCAGTAATGATATAGTTTTCTTACTGATCTTTGGGTCCCCAGTACAATCTTTAACCTTTAATTCGTTACTGAGTGGCACACTGCTTTGCCGCCTTTTTGAATGTACTATAAATTTTAATGATTTATAATTCTGATTATTACGTACTAAACGTGAAAAATCCATTGAAGATTTATGTCAGAATCCTGAAGATTATTAAAAAAATAATCAGGCTTGCCGGTTATCATTCAAGATATTGCATATGCCACTTGCGCTACTTGTGTTTAGAACTCATAAAGATGCCTTTCTATCTCGAATGGACTGATCGTACAATGACGTATCTCGAATTTCAGTGGTTGGTGTATGGTCGCTTACTGAGGTTAAATTTAGTTTCAAACAGCATCGCTGTTATCGGGTACCGCAGATAAACATTACCTGCAATCGTGCAGACAGTTAATAAAAACTCGCGATATTCATGTCAAAAGTTTCAAAATCATTCATGTTTTTCGCATTTGTTTGGATTTAGAATAATTAAGATTTTATTGGGATTATAGGTATATGTATTTCATCACATCGAGTCAGTCTATCGGCATTTACGCTTTTTGCTAGACATTATAAACTGTTTCGCGTAGCTACTTATAGTCAATATTCAAGCGATGCCACCGTGGAAACCACGAATAGGACAGAGATGGAGTGATTCTCCCGGCCCCCCGCGTCCCTCGTCATTACGATTACCCGATCACAGCGACTCTATGCAGCTATTCCGAATTGCTTCACTAAGCGACCCACCCCCACCACCACAGTTTCAAGACCTGTATGTAAGACCGTGCGTTAATCAAAGTTTAAACCACGATCTTACGTACAGGTCTTGTAACTCGCCCAATTTTCAGCGGTAGGGGTAGACGTGGTTTTGAAGCACGGCACATTTTAAATTTTAATCACAAGAGTCGCTGTGATCGAGCGACCCCCTTATCTATCTCACTCTACAGTCAGCTGTGGGAGAGAGAAATAGGAACGGGCCCCTTATCTATCTCACTCTACAATCGGCTGCGGGAGAGAGAAATAGGAACGGATCGCTTGATCGCAACGCCTCTTGTGGTCATGAAGCAAAATGAAAAATGCTTCTAAAAGAAGACTACCCCCTCCAAGGGAGTTGCAAGACCTGTATGGACGACCGTGGTTTAAACCACGATCTTCTATGTCCTTCCTTCCTTTCCTTATGGCTGTATCCCCAATGGGGGACATGTGCCAGTAACTGGTCCTAATAATCAAGGTTGGAAGTTCGACAATAGATGGCGATGTACCTTGCGAGACGGGCCTTATTCAACTCAGCGTGAGGGGACCTACAAAGTTTATACACCGAATCCGAACAGTGTTGGGCGAAATCCGTATAAATACTCACTTAAGTTTTCATATGAAAACCCATTGGTGAATGCCGCTGGAAGCTGGGCACGAACCTCCAATCATTCGGTCGTGAATCCGCTACCCTATCCACTGGGCTACGGCCGCCCCTCGATCTTCTATGTATGTTACAGGTCTGACACTTAGGCGAAAAACGCGTGTCGATAAGGTGGCCACTGCCGCAAGAGGCGTTACTGTTGAAAAAGCCAAAAACGTGCTAGCACTACGCGTGCGCAGTTATCTCTTTCTTGAATACGTATCCTGCAACTTTAGTCGTTGTAATGTGTAACATACTGTGATTGCAATTGAAAAAGCTGCAAGTTGAAACTTGCAATTTGCTTCCTCTGAATCGTAAGTAGTGTACGAAGTCCTTATATGAGGAAGCATTTTCATTTTTTTTAAATCTTTGGCTTCCTCATTGATGAATTTTCATCTACTACCCACGATTCAGAGGAAGCAAATTGCAAAATTAAAATTCTTGGCATCCTCGTATAGGGACTTGGTACACTACTTACGATTCGGAGGAAACAAATTGCAAGTTTCAACTTGCAGCTTGTTTAACGTGAGTCCCCATGCCTCTCACAACTTGGGGTGCTTCATACTGTAGAGAACGCATGTAAGGATAAATCTCTTGCATGATCTCTTCGGGTCTAATATTTTTGAATTGGTTGAAATTCAAAAACTTGAATATACGTATAATCAGATCCGTTTTACCGATCTCCGCCAAATTTGAGACATATCACGGCTAAATGATACTCTATATTTTTCGAAAGTTGGAGCTCAATCGGTTAAAGTTGACGGGAGTTATATTGATAAATTTAATTTTTCGAAAAATTCAAAATATCATAATATCAAAACTTCTCGATAGATTCGGCCAAAATGCAATACCAACCAACCTTGGATACAAATCTCTTTGCCAAGAACTATTTAGACGATTATCACAAAATTTGCGTTCGCTAGAGTGATAACGTCCTTTTTTTGGGAACTTTAAAACGACATAAAATCCGAGCCACAGCATGAACCATGACGAAAATTATAGTCAATGAAGGGATTATAAAGCTGCATATGCCTGCAAAATTGGGGGTCTGTAGCTAAAACGGTTCTCGAGTTAAACACGTTTGAATTTTGGGAGGCCATTACACACACATAGAGCTGCATATGCCTGCAAAATTGAGGAGCTGTAGCTAAAACCGTTCTCAAGTTATACACGTTTGAATTTTGGGAGGCCATTACACACATGCACACACACATACACACACATACATCCGGATATTTTCTGCAAACGTGTTTTCTCGCCGTTTTGGCACATTCTCAACATGGCGACATGAAAATCTCGACAGGAAAATTTTCCACCGTCACTTAGCTTCCTCTATGAGGAAGCAAAAAGCAACAATGACCAGAAAGTGCATCGTGCCTGCTTGAATCACAATGATAGGAATTTGCATTTGAAAACCTCATAGGAGTTACAAATAAATTCAGTAAAAAAGTTACGACACAAGCAAATATTGACTGTTTTAATTTTCATGACTTTTAGGTGAATTGGTCCATTTAACTTTAGTTTTTTTATTCATCAATTCTTTATTTGTCTAACTTATCAAAATTTTATTTAATTAGCATCGCATAGGTTTTTTGTGGTCAATAACTTTCCTTTTGAAACGGAGATAAGAGGTTGCAGTGAATTTACGGATGCGCATGCGCTGTTTGAGCTGGCTTCTTCGACACTAGCGCTTGCGGACAAAATTGTCCACGTTACGGTTACGATCAGTTACGATCTACAACGTGGTGAGGATAGGGAAGTGCCCAGACCTGTATACAAAATCGTGCTTTAAAGGGCTATCTACAATGAGACGTTGTCGCAAGCACTAGGCGGAAGCGTTAGTCGTTGTCGTTGTCGTTTTGCCGGAGACGGGGCAGCGTTCCGACTTCGTTCCGACATGAATCCACAATGTCGTTGCCGTAATGCGTATCACTTCGATTCTGCAGCCAATCAGAGTACAGACTGTTTTGTGGCAGAGGGCGGTGTTGCCACCGGCGTGCACGTTAACGTTGTCGGAAGACGGAAGAGATGGGAGTTGGTCATCTCTCTTACGACAGCCGATTACGACATCCGTCAAACGCTTCCGTCAAACGACTTCATTGTGGAACGCACGTGCCGTCTTCCGACAACGACTTCCGTCATCCGTCTTACGGTTATGTCTCGTTGTAGATAGCCCTTAAGACGACTACCCCAACCCCTGAAAATTGGGCGAGTTGCAAACCTGTATATGTATAAGACTGTGGTCGTAACTGCTATCCGTCTTTTTCTATCTAGCGGACACGTTCCTGGCTTTTATGCGCAGTCCATTCTCTATGTGATGATATGAACCGATTGATCTTATGTAGTTAATGATTATTTACTGAAGTATTTTGTGTAGGAGGTGGCCATAGCGCAGTGGTTAAGGTAGCGGATTCACGACCAAAAGGTTCAGGATTCGCATCCAGCTCCCAAAATAAAATATGACACACTTCGTAGTATCAGGTTCAATAATTTTTCTATACCAACAAAAAAAAACCTTGAATATCCAAAAGGGGGAACTAGGATATCCATGACTGGATATGGATATCCAGTGGATATTCACTATGGATATCGTGGACATCCTATGCATATAAAATGCTGTGTGGATAGTAAGTTAATTCGCTCTTTTCTTTTATTTATAGTCTTAATAGCATTGATTATTTACACTCGATGTAACTGTGCTCTTAGCCAACCAGATATTTGCATTTTGAAGGTAAACGGATTTATGCATTGAACCGTGTTGAAGAAAACGGGCTTAAGGCAACTGTCAACTTTACAGAACTTTACTCGAGAGGAGATTGAGACAAAGAGATATGCATGAAGAAAATAAAATTAAGAGATAAAGAACGAATGGAGATGGATGAAAAACTTCTGGAAGTTCGGGAAAAATGATAAAAAAACTAAGCCGTACTACTTTAGTATATTACGATACGAATTCGGTAAAACTTTTTTTGATTTTGACGGGTGTGGGTTTGCACAAGCCGAAGGCGAGTGTTGTAATCACACGAGTTAAGAAAAAGTTTTTTCAACGAATATTGTAAAAAATTTTACTTCACAAGGTGTGAAATAAGATATTTATTACTATTTTTAAATTTATTACTGAGTTGCAGAATTTATGACGCTTAAAAACTTATTACCACATTTCCAAAAGTAGTGCTATTTCTTAAAACTTACTTTTGTTATATAAATAAAAATTAGTTATAAGCGATTTGCAATCACGAGTCGTTTTATTTATTGTCACATGTAACTGGTTGTTACATTATTAATTTATTTTCAAATACAATGTAAAATTCCTATAGTAATAGATATTAGCTGGCGAAAAGTCATTGCGTTTTTTTTTGTAATAGGTGAACATATACAGAAATGGATTACACAGAAAATAAATTAATTGACTTTTTGGCCAACCTAATATTTAAACAATTTTACTACCGTAAGGAATTGATGATTACCGTTCTTTTCTGTTTCCAGTCATTTCCAATAAAGAAAGACAGATGATTCCCCAAACACGTATGTAAACAGAAAACACCTGGCACGCACCTGCGCAGCGTATTCTTATGGTGGCACGCCTTTAGGTATACTGTTATGCCGTCATGAGTTCTTTAGGATCACAAATAAATAATTGCGCCGATTTGGAATTATATAGAGAACTATTATAGTTTATTGAAGTTGGTATAATGTAAATACTAAGGTAACACAAGATTTAATAGGAGTAGGCACAATGATACTAATTATTCACAACTATGAATTACGCTCCAGGACTTCACTCTTAGCTAGGAACTTTGCGAGTGACCGCTGTGGCTCACACGGTGTCTCTCGTCGCTTTTATCTTAACGCCTTATGCATAGGGTCAGCATTCGTCTAATGCTGACTTTGCGTCTGGAGATTAACTATACGACGAATCCTATCTGTCACATCTCCTCACTGGAGGAGTCAGCCATAAGGAAAGGAAGGAAGGACGAATCCTATCGTGGGGCATAACAATACATATATTTCAGTGACAACAATATACTTTGCCATCAATTGTATCCTTGACATTGGTAGTCCGTGTAGCAAGCTTCTCATGCGTTTTTTCTAGACCACTGCATCTTTCTACTGTTACCCTGGCCGCTGATTGGCAGAGATGAGTGGGGAGATGTACAACGCTCCGGTTTTAGGCGATACC